CGGTGTAGGATGTATTGCTGTAAGCCCTACAGTTTGTTCTTTGTTTTTATTATTACTATTGTTATTATTTTTGTCTTTGTTTTTTTCTTCTTCTTTTGGGCTCTGTAGCACTTTGAGATTTCTTTGAAATGTAAGGTGCGTTACAAATAAAATCTATTATTATTATTATTATTATTATTATTATTATTATTATTATTATTCAGTAATTGTGGAAGGTTTTGATTCTGATATATTTGTAAAGTTCAGATTTCATTTAGTCTGCGCAACAGAAATACTGTTTCCAAATCAATTGATGGACTAACCGTTAAGTACACGAGATGTTGCAACATGGCATTTTTTGCATCCTCTTCTAATCTATGAACACGGTTTCTCTCATTTTCTCTCATTTTCTCCAGCATACTGGTACCCGAGTATCCTGCTGCAGCTGCAAAAACAGTTGATTAAAGATTCATTACAAATGGTATAGGAAGAATTAAGATATATGTAATTTCAAAATAAATTAGAGATTTTAATGACATTTCTTACTATTGTAGCACTGCATTCTATGCTCGATTGTCGGTGTCAGGCTGAGGTAGATTATTTTCTTCTGGTCTTGAATCATTCTGTTCAGTGTTGTCTTAACTTTCTCTTCCTAAGAGAAATGAAAAGTGTTTCACCACTACAACATACAGTAGGCCATCCTTATTATTTTTTCAAAACACAAGACAAATTGGAAATCTCAACAAGTCTTATTGAAATCTGCTAATAAAGTTTATTTTCTTTCATCGTTTACTGTACCTCTGTCCCAAGGAATATCAGCTGCAATTGTACATCTTTGTACTTCAGCTTCAGTTTGTCAGTGTCAAGTGAAAAGTTGTTAATGACACCATTAAATGGACCAATTTGTTGTTCCTTTCTGAAAAATTTTGACATGAAGAAATGGTTAAAATTGGCACTTTGTTATTATTTTCTCTCAAGTTTACTTGAGTGGAAAGGCTTTCATATGATTATAAAGATCTTACGGGAATGTCTTCCTGAATTCCTCATCAATGCTGTCAGTCAGGAACGATGAAAGTTTCATGTTCAGGTTTATTTCTTTTCCAGTTATTGGTCTGTGATAGATACCACCACTCCTTGCCTTAAAAAATAAGTAACATTTTGAAAAAATGTGACAAAATTCAATTTGATGATTTCCAGATGATTACTGTCAAAAAAAAATTAAAATAAAAAATACATACCGGAGGAATTAAAATCTCATTTAGGTTTTTTTCACATGACCTTGTGGAGTTTTCAACCCCTTTTTGGAGGTGTTGTGTAAAAACACGGTGAGCTTTTATCATCTCCTTTTCGACTAAACGAAGATGAAGATTTAATTTTGTCTTAAGCTCTTCACATACATCCTTGTTTTGTCCAGGCTACAAAGAAAAGCATTGCAAAACAACAGATTGTTAGTAAATGCTAAAAAAAGCCTACTCTGTTTATTGAAGTAAAAATTCCTTTTTGAAATGCAACTTGTTTGATAATAATAATAATAAAAATAAAATATTTTCTGGGATTTAACAACAGTTTATTTACACAATTCAAAAGATAGAATTAAATATTGATGTAAAACAAGTTTCGGTCAAAAATCACTATTAATGTAAAAACAGTGTCAGCGAAATATCATTAAATTGTAGTTGTCCTTCATCTGACTCAGTACATAAAATTTTGTTGATACCCCAGAACTGAATAAAATCCTCCATGTTCTGTGTGGCCCTGTGGAAGTGAAACTCCAGCCTTATTCTGAAGAAGAAGAACGTTTTTCTTTGAAAGTATGGATAATATTATGGTAATAGTATAGAGCTAAAAACAATGTACAGAAGATCACAGAGATGTGAATGTGAAAGGTCTTGGAGGTACTTTAATGTTTGAGTAGCAAACTTTAATTCAATACACTTTTTTACAGGCAGCCAATGAGGTTGGTGGAGAACAACAGCAAGAAGCTGAATCTAAGGAGTTCTGGTAATCAATCAAATATTTACTATTGAAAGTTAATGAATTAATCTAACTTTAAAGCAAACACTCAGGGCTCATATTTAAAATAGCTTTGCACTGATGAACATTTCTCTGTGTACAGACATTTATGCAGCTAACAAGAGAAACAAAAGTTTCCTTTTAAATTCTTACCTGTTTTTTCATCCTGGCTCCTTGAATCAAAGAGAGAATCCCATGAGCTCTAGATATATAACTCAATGTCTCTGAGTGATCGTCACTGAGCTCCTGCAAAAAATCCTGAAGTTTGGGGATTTCTGTAAAAATAAAACCACATCAACTATGATTTTAACAGTTTCCCAACCAGATTCCTCAGAGTTTCTTTATCACCAACAAGATATTCAGACAAATTTGGTATAAAGCATACCAGTATTTTCTTGACTTAGAACACTCGGTCTCAGAAACTCCTCAGAGCTCACTGTGAACACTTCGAAAGACCCGTCGGTGAAGTTTTTCTATATCAATTAGATTTTCAGTTTATTTTTGGTAGTTTTGGACAGTATTAGTATATCTGTCAACATTTAAAGCTCACCTTAATTTTGTTTAGGTTGTTGAATTCTTTCCTCACTGCTTCTTTTGTTTTCATGTTTCTTTGGAGGATCAAATCTTGAACATCAGCTGAGCTGAAAGAAAAGTTATATTGCTACTTTAGAGTTGTTTCTGTGGAGAGGTTGTTTCTCTACAGAATCCTGTTCCTTAAAGATTGCATTCACTCATATCGAGCATAACATAGCGAATATTTCAATATAACATGACATTTGAAGTAAGTTTGGAGGATTGCTAAACAGTATAGTCATATTTAACTCCTATAAAAAGTTAATGTGCAGAATATTAACTCCTATTTTAGTAGCAATTACGCAATTGAAGCATTTTCTTCAATTTGTTTGATATTTTTTCCTACCAAGTCTTTAGGGCAAAGTATGATTAGGAACTTTTATCTTGGAGGTTTCAATAGGTCAATAGTAGTTTTACTTTGATCATACAAAAAAGTCACAAAAAAGGTCGCTACTGCCTTGCTGACTTCAAACCTCTTTTTGGGTGATCAAATGGTCAAAAGTGAAGAATGTAATTTTGTTTGAAATGGTCAATTTGACAAGGTAAAAAAAAATAATAATTCTAAGATATTAGAAATACATATTTAGTCAAAATAATACATCTCAAAGCAGCCTGTTGTAACCACAATAACATTACAGGGAAAACTACTTTATTGCTTGAATGCTAGTCTCTCAATGTATCTATTGAGGTGCAATCATTGGCAGCAGTTGATGATGGAGAATAAAACATTAATCAAACATAGGACCCGTGCATATTCCCATGGGGTTCCTCTTCAAGTTGGTTCTGTCTTCCATCACACAGTAAATACTAAGTGGCCGTTTTCAACTGCTTGAATTGTTATCATCTATATAATATGCCTTCAGTCCCATAGAATGACTTCAGATGATGTCTACCTACCACTAGGCTCAGTAGGTTGGTATCACTGAATGAATCCTAATCGTAACCCTTAGGTATTCCTCTTTTCCTGTGGAATTGATTAATCTATGTATGTCTAATCTGGAAATAATTTCAGTAGTTCTTAATGTAATTTACAAAAGGAAAGAAAAAAGATCTGAATGTCACAAACCAATAACATAAAAAAAAATCCTGTCAACTGAGTTGTATTGAATCACCAAAATAAATCCTTGTGACTAAAACATATAATTCATTCGAACTAAATAAAATAAAGTAGACGAAAACTGTAAAGTAGGTAAATAAATAAAACTTATGGTTTTAGATGCGGCCAAAGGGGCTGTTATCAATTATAAACTTAATGTTATCAGACAAAAGAAACCTACTAGAAGGTAGAGGAGGAACTCCCTGAAGCCATTCTATGGGGCTATGGGGTTTAATTTTCTACAATGCTATTTTCACACACGCCAATATTCTCTCACTGTTCTGTTCTGTTCTGTTAAAGTCGTAGGGAAACCACTTTTCCAACCGTTGCATGTCCAAAATCTCCTAAGTAGTGCACGACTTTACATGAGTGAATAAAGTGAATGTGATTGGTCGTTTATCAAGAGTGCTGGATTGTTGTGGCAGATTGTTCGCAAGCAACTTTGATTGTGTCTAGTGTCTCAGAAGCATCTTGCTAACCAGTTAGAATCTTAGTGCTAGTAGGTTTCCAATGGGAAATTACATTGAGACCAAGTAGCATTAAATTGGTGACTTAGAAACAACACTGTCAAGGATTGCTATGGACAGACGAAACATCTAAGAGGAGGAGAGTTTTATGTCGAAGGTCGTGGATGATTATACTCCATCATACATTTTTTATTTAAAGGAGGAAAGTGGGGACAAAGATGTTGTGCAAGAGGACGCCAGGGCGGCAGAAGCTTCATTTTGTCTAGAAGACTAACAGCCGTACACGCAACGCTGCCGGTTCAGTTAGCTCTACGCCTGTCGAAGACACAGACGTCCATCCCTGTGAATGCTGGGACGGAACTCAATGGATAAGTACATTATTCTTATTTCCTATTTCATCCGTTGCGTAGATTAGCTGCGACATATAAATCAAGATGCTATGACAGAAAAAAGGTGATTGACAGATGAACATTGATATATGATTGGCCAAATTTAGGTGTACAACCTGACGTATAACTAACTGGCCTGAATAAGATAAACAAAAACAAAAAACAGATTTTAATTTTGGGACAATATCGTCTGATAAGTACAAATTTATATACATGTTTAAGCCAGAATGATTTGACATTTAAAATATGATTTTCCTATGACTTTAAGTCTGTGTAAGGCTACAAATGTGAGGACGGATAAGGTCTGAGATGTATGTGATGGATTGGGAGATGAAATGGTAGTGCTCATAAACTTTATTTTCTGAATATGAAAGTTATCCATTTATTATCTGTGAATCAATGCTGATCATTCTTTAACAAGATCCTCATCAAAAGGACATGCAGTGTTTGATTTTTAAAACCTACTATGTCTAATGGACCAAGTGAATGTTTGTTTGTAGTTTATGCACAAAACTAGAACAAAATGAGGAGCTACCGACTAAATCAGGAAATAAAACAACGGGATTGGCTCTAAGGAGAGTGAAGACAGAGGACACTGAGTTTACCGAACAAAACCTGCTCCCGATCAGGTTAGGTCTAGGTAGAATGTTACTATGGTGACTTAAACAAAGGTTGAGTAAACTCTCTTTGAAAAACGAAAAACTCAAGAGTTTTTGCTAACCCTGCTTTTTGGAATGAACTCCTGCTCAGCACAAACCATATGAAGATCAGGCCAATAATTTATCAATTATTCATAAATGAGCATATACATTTCTTGATCTTTCTAACATTTTCCAGAAGGAAGTTTAATATTTTGACTAACTGTAAACTTTTAGTGCTTGAGTTCACTTACTGATCAGTTGAACCGTCAATAATATCAGACTTTGTGCAAATAATGTGAATTTTTTTGCACTCCCCACCATTTCCAATGAGACTACTGACACTGTTGAGGATATCCCAGGATTCTTTATCTGCTCCTGCTTGGTTGACTTCTGTCACAATCCACACAGTAGAGCAGCTTCCAACAATCTATTGTAGCAAATAAATACACTGATGTATAATCATCATGTTTAAAAAAAAACATTCTGCAGTTTGCATAATACAGGAATATATTACCCCTTTCCACATAGTATCCCTGCTCTTGTTACGGTCTCCATTTCCATTTCCAGGAAGGTCCACGAGTGTGATGTTCTGGAGAAAACTGTTATTTGGCACTTTGACAGTCACACACTTCACAAGTGGCCAATAGCACTTCTTCATACTGTTATCCCCACATTGTTTAGAATCAGCCCTTGTGTATTTTATCATTTCAGCAGATACTTCTTTTGCCTGCAAAAAGAAAAAAATGGAAAAGATGGAGAATGTAGAGTTCAACGTTTAGGAACTTTTATCGCAACCCCAAACACCAACCCACAAGACCAGCAACAGACACCCTGACAGGACTTGGTGTTCTGGCCCCCTACCCTGTTTAGAGACCAGTCAGATAAAGTTGGATAAAATTTGACATGATCCTTAGGACTGCAGAAGCTGAAAACAAAAAGCTATCAGGTTTGTATCTGATTTAGTACCAGATATAAATATGGTACTGATAGAAGAAAATTAAGGTTACAATATCTAAAATAGTCTTTTTACAAATCCAATTAGGGCCACATTTGCCTGTTTGAATGTAGCCAAAGCGATGGAATGTATGATATAGAACACCAGCTTGATAATAACTGGTTAATAATAGATTGCAGTGCTGATTATATTTTATGCTCTCATGAAAGCAGCAGAGCTATAAATCATGCTTCAGATTGCTAGTTTATCATACCTATAAAAATTTCTCCATTTGAATTCCCATTGAAACTTAATTTTATTGTCCAGATTTAAGAACCATTGAAAAACTAAATAATTAATCCAGAAGCCATTAAAATGGTCAAATCACACAGCTCACAGCACCCTCTTGTTGTAATGTTCATTAGTGGCCATTATTAAGAGGTTTCACTTTATAGATCAATAAAATATACCCAAAAAATATTTTTTAAATCTTTACAGTTTATAAATCATTCAATTAAACATCTTGTATAAATCTAAAATCGTTGATTTCAGTTGTCTTGGTTGTCCATATGAATACTTTTAAGGAATTTCTGCACCATTTCATTCTTACTGTTTTATAAGACATTATCTTCTCTCTGGATTGAAGGAACTCTGGTATTTCTCTGAAGTATTTGCTTTCCATTAGTTGTTCAGAAGATTTCCGCTTCCATTTGTCTCCATAGACTGCTGACAGCTTTGCAGCAACATCCTGATAATCATCATCATCATCTCTGTTTTGATTTGTAGAGTCTCTTTGATACCGCTTTATTGACCACAAGTCCTTGTTCCACTTCTAAATGTAAAAAAAAAAAGTCCCATTATAATTTGTGTATATCATGATAAACCGTGATTATTCTTTTTAAATGAAATGGCTGAATTTTCATAGCTCTTTTACCTCTGTTGTGATAAATTCAATATGTGCCTCATAGTTTTCGTTGCTGGTGTTAGCCTCCACCTTAATAATGACTGAAGTACATGCGGTGACATCTCCACAGGGCAAAAGATTCCTCTCTTTAATGACAGCATTTATCAAAGAGGTCTTTCCAGCTCCTGTTTTACCAAAAACCCCAACCATTTCTTTCTTCTTTATCTCCAGATCCTTGATTAATTTCCTGTTAAAAGGTAGAGATTTACTTTAATACATAAAACTTTTTTAGATGTCAAAGTACATTTGATATTAACAGTATATGTCTTTAAATGCCACGGATTGCAGATTTTAATTAAATGTTAACAAAATATTTGTTTTTGTTTAGATATTTGTTTAACTCTTGGATTACTTTAACTTCAAGACTTGCAAGTTGATGTTCTACACCAAAAAAAGAGTGTTAGAAAGCAATAGTGGCCTAAGTTAATGTGATCTTGGAGAAAATAAAACTAAACTTCTAAGAAAATATACTCACCTTACAAAAGCATTCAGCTCTGTTTTTTCTCGTCTGCGTAGTTCACTAAGAACATTATCCATCACACTTTTCACATCAGAAACTGATTCTGTTGCTATAAAAAGATATAAAAATGAGAGAAGAGTGACATTTTGTTTGCACTATTAATCTAAACTGGGAAGGAATTTCGGTCCTGGGTCTTTTATACTGGCCCTGACAGTGACCATATGAATGGTTGCAAATAATTAATCTATTGTTTAATAATAGATATATTTTATTGAAGGAAATAAATACGATTTTAAAACAAATTTATCATCAGTTATAATGGCTTCTTAACATACGATTTATTGTTACATTTTGTAGGTCTTTTGGGAGTGGTTTCAAATGGAGCTCTGCGTGCCATAATCTGGATCAACTGTTCCTTTTCTATTTAGACAGAACGCTTCCTGCTATATTTGTTTGAACTTGCTCTCTTAAAACGTAAAACATTCCTGTGGTTTAAAGTTTTACTTGTTTTGCTTGGGTTACTATTTGTTTTGCATTCAAGCACCCTGAAAACAACCAACTTCACAGAATTCCTGATTAGCATGGAATTTTATTATTTATTTTTTGGTTTTAATAGCGAATTTAATATTAGTAAAAAAAAAAAAAATTTTTGTTTTTTAGGTCCGTATGTATCTTAACTTTTCCTCTGCCTTATTAACAGTAGTTAGTTAGTGACAGCACCTTGATCTATATAATTGACTTTTTAGTGTTGCTTTTATAAAGAATTACCTGCCATGGATTTTGATAAATCCATCCGAAGTTTTGCTGGTGGTTGCCCTGTTTTCAACTCCTCTTGATCCAACTTTCTCTTCCCTTTTTAATATATATATTTTTAAGTAACACAGAAAAAAGTTAAATTGGTTCCTTACTAGGATTTGTTTTTGTAACAAACATATATGAAGTATAACAAACTGTAATTCTGACCTCTGTCACTTGTAGATGGTAGTACCTAGGAATAAACATAGTTTTTATTCTCTTCCTTTATCAAATAAAATAAAGCATGTTTTTAAAAGCCAAAAAAAAAAATAAACAGTAGATATTTAACTTACAGATGAAAAGGATTTTTAAATATATACCCCATTTTTTAAACAGCCATCTGATAATCAGTAATTTCTAATCTTACCTCAGCTCGATCAGGTGTGTTTTTCTGTGCTTGTTGGCTCTAAAGATGATAAGGTAATAAAAAGCAATTAAAACATTGATGTGAAATTTTGAGTGAAGGTTGAAAAGTTGTGTGTGAACATATAATATTAAGGACCAGATCTTTAATATTCTTTAAATATCATTGCATGTCTAGTAAAACAAAAACAAACTGAGCGTTAAAAGTCTCTACAGAACAAAAATCCCACAATAGGCCAGCCTGTTTGAATTATGCATTCCTCAATTGTGGCATTGTGGGATATACATATGTCCTTTGTTGCCTCTTTACAGGCTCATTACAAAGCACAGTTGTGTGTAATTGAATTATTATGGACAAAACCTGGCTAAATATGTTAAATTAAGCAGTTGATGTGTGTTCCAGGAGGTAAATTAAACTGTTTAGAGAGGGATTGTGCTGTATGTCTAACATAGGTAGGGGTGGGTATTGCCAAAGAAGTCACGATTCGATTCGAATCACGATTCACAGGCCACGATGCAATTCTATCACGATGCATCACGATACTTGAATTATTGCGATGCATTGCAATATTTTCTCCTCCATGTTTTGTTTTTGAATGAGTCGGCACAGTATCCCACGGCCGGAAATGCTTGTTACACAAGGCAGCGTGCGTCAACACATTTGCAGCGACATCTACTGGACTAGGTTGTATTACACTCGTTTTTGGCTGATGTTCGCCAACCATGCATGCAATTTTATTTATTTATTTTTTTAATTAATAATCGATACTTGGTCTCAAGAATCGATGCAGTAGATCACGAAAATTAGAATCACGATGCATCATCATGACGATTATTTTGCACACCCCTAAACATAGGGTTCTCTGTAAGGGGTGTTTAGGGGAGAAACAGACAGTCAGCTTTTAAAAGTTTTATGATAGATATTACAACTTGCAAATGTAACTTAAGTTATTTTCATCTTTAATTATTTTTTTTTCGAAGTAAGCCTACGGTAACATTCATCCACCCATCCATCCATTTTTCGTCACGCTTATCCCTGCTGGGGTCGCGAGGGGCGCTGGTGCTCATCTCCAGCTGTCATTGGGCGAGATCCACTCTGGACAGACAAACAGGACAAACAACCATGCACACACGCTCAGACCTAAGGAGAATTTAGAGAAGCCAATTAACCTAACAGTCATGTTTTAGACCTGTGGGAGGAAGCCGGAGTACCGGGCGAAAACCCAAGCATGCACAGGGGGAACATGCAAACTGTAACATACTTATCCAAATACCTCTATATGTAATATTCATAAATTATGATTATTATTTTTTTTATTATTATCAATATCACTAATACCTTCATACCTTTGCGCTCTGTAGTTTACAGCCTCTTTTTAAATGTCCCTGGCACATGCAATTTACTTATTTGAATGGGGCAGAACTGATCCGGTTTACCTCATGGAATCTTTGTAGATAACCTGTAACAAGTCCACTTATACACATGTAATTTAGAACAGAAGCGCAGTATTGGAACCCTTAGAGGATTAAATCCTTTGTGCAAACCTATATGTATCTTATGTGTAGAGGCTTCGTGCCATGATATGTATTATATTCAATAATCCATAAGATTATAGTAACTTGTGATTCCTAATGAGATATTTAGTTTTATTTTTAAGCACCAATTACACACCATATATACACCAATTTGCTGCAGTCCCCTACTGGTTGGTAGAAATAAACAATAATAAAACTATTTTGTATTTTTTCAAACCGGGGTTTTAAAAACAGCTACAATAAGCAGAGGAGAAATACATTTTTAAAACAAAATGTAAATTATATTGCAGCTTAGATGCAACACATCTTAATATGAAGGTATTATAATGAGAAGCCACATTGTGTAGGAAATTACCTGCAACAGCTTTAGTTCCTTTCTGAAAAGGGCTCTCGGCCCTACTATGGGGATTAAAGTTTTGATGTCTTCATCGTCAAGGCAGTGAATATTTTTCTCGTTAATGCCTTGATCTGCAAATAAAAAGTGTAATGCTGACAATAAATTACATATTTTAAAAGGTTAAAGGTATTTCAGAAAAGATTTGGGGAAAACTTATGCAATGGAGTACTTAACCTTTAAATCTGCTTATCCACTCGTCTAGTCCCAATTTTTTTAATATCTGGCAAACAAAGCCATCCATGGCCAAAAATAAAAAACTGCAAAATTAAACAGACATGAATCAGCAACATTAAATCTTTTGTAAATCCAATCTAGTAAAAATTATTAACCTAAAATTCTTACAGTACCTGTTTTAGAAGACATCAAAGAAAAAAGGGAGAGAAAATAGCAAGACAAGCTTCCAAAACAATTCCAGAACACAGGGGCTATCAATGATTCAACAAGTTTTCCAACAAAAGTCAAACTGAATAAACCAGATTATTTGCAAAGAACTGGTTCACAACATCTGTGAGCAGATTTGAAGTTGTGGTATATATACACAACTAAATACAACCAAACGGCACGGTAAAAGGGTGGTTCATGTAGAAGAGGAGTGGTTTCCTTACACACAGGCGTAGCAGCGTACTTTCCGTTTACCAGAAAATGCAATAAGTTTTGCTTTCTCTCTTTGTCCTCTTAAAACCTTTAAAAAATACTTCCATGTGACCTGTTAAGATAAGTTTTTCTGTCCTGAGAGACCGTTAGGAGATATTTTGTTGTATATTAATGCCATCTTTAACCATGAGATGAAATACAGTTTTTAATGTCATGTAAATACATATTTTGCCCTTAAACAAATAAATGTATCTCTACCAAACCTATCAGATTATTAAATACTTTAAACATTTTTCTCCTTATATACAGTACTTTATGGTGAGTATTATTAACTTCCCCCTCCCAGGGCTGTCACCTTATCGTGATGGAGGGGTTTGAGTGTCCCAATGATCTTAGGAGCTATGCTCTCTGGGGGATTTATGCCCCCTAGTAGGGTCACCCAAGGCAGACAGGTCCTAGGTGAGGGACCAGACAAAGAGCAGCCCAAAGACCCCTTATGATGAGTAACATAAATGGACTTAGTGTTCCCTCGCCCGGACGCGGTTCACCGGCGTCCCACTCTGGAGCCAGGCCTTGAGGTGGGGCACGCCGGCGAGCTCCTGGTGGCCAGGTTTTTACCCATGGAGCGCCCCCGGGCACAGCCCGAAAAGGATACATGGGTCCCCCTTCCAATGGGCTCACCACCCATAGGAGGGGCCAAAAGGGTTGGGTGCAGTGTGTGATGGGTGGCAGTTGAGGGTGGGGACCCTTGTGTTCTGACCCTCGGCTGAAGAAGCTGGCTCTTGGGACATGGAATGTCCCAAGCTGGCTCTTGGGACATTCCATGGAACCTGAGTTAGTGCCACCGACCACTACCTGGTGGTGAGTTGGCTCCGATGGTGGGGGAGGACGCCGGTCAGACCTGGTAGGCCCAAATGTATTGTGAGGGTTTGCTGGGAATGTCTGGCAGAGTGACCCGTGAGAAGGAGCTTTAACTCCCATCAACTCCCATCTCCGGCAGAGCTTTGAACACATTCCGAGGGAGGTGGGGGACATTGAGTCTGAGTAGACCATGTTCCATGCCTCTATTGTTGAGGTGGCTAGTCGGAGCTGTGGCTGCAAGGTTGTAAGTGCATGTTGCGGCAGCAACCCTTGAACACGCTGTTGGACACCAGCAGTGAGTGAAGCTGTCAAGCTGAAGAAGGAGTCCTATCAGGCTTTATTGACCTGTGGGACTCCAGAAGCAGGAGGCAGTCAAAGCAGCATGGGCTCTGCTGGTGGCCGAGGCAAAAAGTCGGGCATGGGAAGAGTTCGGAGGGGCCATCGAGAAAGACTTCCGTATGGCTTCGAAGCAATTCTGGTCCACAATCCGGCATCTCAGGAGTGGGAGGCAGTGCTGTACCAACACTGTTTATATTGGGGGGTGGTGTGCTGCTCACCTCGACTCGGGATGTCGTATGTCGGAGTACTTCGAAGACCTCCTTAATCCCACCAACATGTCTTCCATTGAGGAATAAGAGCCTGGGGGCACGGCTTGGGTCCTCCCATCTCTGTTGCTGAAGTCACTGAAGTGGTGGAAAGGCTTCAGGGGTGGATGAGATTCGCCCTGAGTACCTTAGGGCTCTGGATGTTGTGGGGCTGTGTTGGTTAATGCGGCTCTCCAACATTGCATGGACATCAGGGGCAGTTCCCTTGGACTGGCAGACTGAGGTGGTGGTCCCTCTTTTTTAAAAAGGTGACCGGAGGGTGTGTTCCAACTACAGAGGTATCACACTCTTAAGCCTCCCTTGTAAGGTCTATTCCGAGGTTCTGGAAAGGAGAGTCCGTTGGATAGTCAAATCTTGGATTCAGGAGGAGCAGTGTGGTTTTTGTGAATGAGGGGAAGATGGAGCGGGAGATCGACAGGCGAATTAGTGAAGCGTGCGCTGTACCGGTCTATGGTGGTGAAGAGAGAGCTGATCCAAAAAGCAAAGCTCTCAATTTACCAGTCAATCTACGTTCCTACCCTCATCTATGGTTATGAGCTGTGGGTCATGACTGAAAGAATGAGGTCCGGGATACAAGCGGCTGAAATGAGTTTTCTCCGTAGTGTGTCTGGGCTCTCCCTTAGA